TTCTCTTGAATAAATAAAATATATTTTAAAGATTTGAAACATTTCAAATGTTTTAAAAATAAAACTTTTCCCTAAAAGTATCATTGGCCCTGCTATACCTAACGGTGTGAATAATCCAAAATAATGGGTAATTTTTTAAAATCCATGTACAATTGACTTCATAAAGTGTGTGTGTGTGTGTGTGTGTGTGTGAGAGAGAGAGAGAGAGAGAGTATAAGGGGATGTCTGCCTCTTTTTTTTTTTTTTTAATATTGCAAGCTGATATATTAAGTAACTTTGATCCTCACAGGTACATAACCTTTGTTCAGTTGAAGTGGCCCTGAATTGACATGTAGAGGCAATTCAGAGGGAGACTGAACCACTGATTATAATACTATACTGTGTATAAGAAAGGAATTTTATTTTTATTTTTTATTTTATTTTTTAAGGTTTTATTTTTATATTCTCTCTATACCCAGCATGGGGCTCGAACCCACAACCCCAAGATCAAGAATTGCACACTCCATCAGCTGGGCCAGCCTGGCACCCCAGGAATTTGATTTTTGAAATGCATATTCTTGGGTTCTGTCTCTCAGAAAATATGATTCCCTTGTTAGGATGCATCTTATACATCCCAAAAGGAGTTGTTTCAGAACACTTGTGTGTGGTTTTGATGGTGTAGGGGCTTAATTCCTATTCATCTATTTACTGAAAAAAAAAAAGAGGGGGATTAACAATGTACAGAAATGGGAAACATGAAGCTGATGAAGTTTAATGATAAAGAATTTCAGGTCTCAAATGAAGACGAAGATGGATGATAAGTCAGATGGACTTCCAGGGTTTACATTGCTTAGCAGAGATTCCAGGGAAAGCAGCAAGGGTCCAAATATCAAGCAAACAATACAAGGGGAGCAGAGATTGAATAACTTCTCCGACATCAAAGCAGAGATTGAATAACTTCTCCAACATCAAAGTTCAAGGCGGGGCCGGGCATTTATTGAGCATCTACTATGTGCCAGACACTGAAGACTAGCTTGGCGCATGGTGGGGGTAGGTAAAACACAGCCTATAAGCACTCCTGAAGTTCTCGCCTTCTTTAATTAAGTTCAGTAGCTACAGGATATCCCTTTAAGAGCCAAAGTGAGAAAATGAATTCACAGAGTGATCACAAGCATGACTCAGGAAGGATTCAAGAGATAAGAGTCTCTTGGAGATGGTCACAGTGAGGTCACTGGCAGTGTTGGTGATAACTACTTCCTGGAGAGGTGGGTGTGGAGGGAGGCTAAGTAGTAGGGCTTGTTCCTAAAGGAAGGTCCTCAAGTCTGGCCACTTGAGGGTAGAAGAACTCATTGATTTTAGGGAAAACAAAAACAAAAAACAAATGTCTGCTCCAGCCTCATCTGGAAATCCCTAACATAACAAAGGCCAGTGTCAGTCCAGGGCTTGTCATGTGCCTTACGCTGTTTGAGGCACTTGGTGTGTTATTTCACACTTCTATCAACCTCTGCAGTAAGGACAGTTTTTATGCTCATTTCAAAGACAAGGAAACTGAGGCATGACAAGCTTAAGTCGCTTGCCTTAGATCACACAGCTGGGAAAGGGGGAGAAATGGAATTAAAACCCTGGCTTTCCGCCCCCAGGCCCTGCACTCTTAACCACTGGGGGATAACTTACCCATTCTGAGTGTTCGCTGGACATATTAGTAAATCTCACATTTACAGCTGACCCTTGAACAATGTGGGTCGGAACTGCAAGGGTCCACTTACAGGTGGATTGTTTTATTGATAAAGGACAGTACTGTAAATGTATTTCCTCTTGTGATTTTCTTAATAATGTTTTCTGTAGTTTTTTTTTAAATTATTATTTGAGACAGAGAGTGTGAGGAGGGGCAGAGGGAGAGAATCCCAAGCAGACATCCCACTGAGCATGGAGCCCAATGTGGGGCTCGACTCCATGATCCTGAGATCACCACCTGAGCCGAAATCAAGAGTCAGACACCCAACCCACTGAGCCACCCAGGTGCTCCTTTTTGTAGTTTATTGTAAGAATATAGTATATAATACACACAACACACAAAACACAAAATTCATGTTAACTGACTGTGCATGTTATTAGTGAGACTCCTGGTCAACAACAGGCTATTAGTAGTTAAGTTTTGGGGGAGTCAAAAGTTGTATGTGGATTTTAGACTACGAGGTGGGTCAGTGCCCCTCACCCCTGCATTGTTCAAGGGTCAACTGTTTATCAAGTTACCGAGGAAGTGAAGCAGAGAGAAGGGGTTGGCCTGTGTTTACACAGTAATGTAGCAGCACAGGCAGCAGCGGCACCCACCCCAGAGCATGACTTACCCTCCCAGGACTTAAATCTCAGCGTGTCTGCAGACAGGGATTTGGAGCTCCTTGTATGGTGTGAAACAGAGCCAGGCAGCCAACGGGGAGCTGGGCCTCTGTCAAAAAGAACATTTAGCTAGCCCCCAGCCCATGTCCATCTCTGCATTTCTGGGGCCCTGCAAAGAGAAAAGCTTTACTTGAGAAGAAGTGATTTTGTTCTCTCTCTCTGAACATCTAGAAAATTCTGGGCTTTCAAAGCCATTTCTCTATTAGGCCCAAGTAGTCTTAGGTCCACATTCCCCAACCCCCTTGGTCAGATGAATGGAAAGTTCACTCTGAACCTGGCATTATTCAAAACATTTTAGAAGTATATGATAACTAAATAACAATATAGTAATATTTATGTACACACACACTGGTTATCTTGGTTTTTGCTTTGAGTTCCTAAGAGAGAAACTACAGACTGAGCATAAAGGGCTATAGTTTGCTTCTTCTTTTATCAAAAGTTAATGACATTGCTTTATTAGTACAGAGCGTATGTGACTGATCCACTGGCCTTTCTCTTTCCAGTAATGGAAAAATATGCCTTGGAAATGTGTGTACACAGAGATGTGCATACACAGAAGGAAAACTGGAAGAATAACTGTCACAATGATTGGGTAATAAAGTCAGGCCTTGAGTTTCGTGACTCCAGTAATTGCTGCTTCTACTTTTGCCACACTTAAGGAAAATGGTGGTGGGAAAAACCATCAGGGAAGTGGAAAGGGAGACAGTATTATCTGTTGAAGAAAAGTCATATTGTCAGCTGTAACTACAGTACTGATAAAAAGAGGTATATATGCCTACCTCTCCAATACATTCTGTGCATTTCTTTAAAAAGTATAAGTTGGTCACATTTTTTAAAAACCTAATATTACTTAAGTATTCTAGGGGAACTTACTGTATTTTTTCACAATGCTGGGGTAAGTTAGTGAGTTTAGAAAGTGTTTTCTAAAAAAAAAAAAAAGGGGGGATCCCTGGGTGGCGCAGCGGTTTGGCGCCTGCCTTTGGCCCAGGGCGCGATCCTGGAGACCCGGGATCGAATCCCACATCGGGCTTCCGGTGCATGGAGCCTGCTTCTCCCTCTGCCTGTGTCTCTGCCTCTCTCTCTCTCTCTGTGACTATCATAAATAAATAAAAATTAAAAAAAAATAAAAAATAAAAAAAAGAAAGTGTTTTCTAATTCTGAATAATCAACTCCTAATTTATGTCTTTTCTAAGGGACATAGCATTCTGTGTAGAATGTTCCTAAAGCTTGGTAACAAACACCAATGGTTATTAGCATTAAGAGAAGATTATTATGGAGAATTCACATGGAAAAATCAAACTGCCTTTCCATTATTTTGGAAATGCTGGGCAGGGAGGGGCTGACATAAAACTTCAAGGCTGTGCATGTATCTGGAGAGGCCATCTTGGCATGGTGTCCTAGCCTGAAACTCAGGCTGCCTGGTTTTGCTCACTGCGCAGCCAGAAAATGCTCTGAGTTCACACGGGGTTAAGAAGAGAATTTACCATAGTCATTTTCCCTCCTGATTGCAGTGATTTGCAAACTTTGTTTTCTTTCAGGACAACACAGTGAGCTGCCATCTTGAGTGCTGCATTGGGGTGGGGGCTGCGGAGCAGGGGTGGGGGGCCGGGCCCTGGAGGTAGGATGTGGTGCGATGCTGTTCTTCTGCGGGCACCGTCCCAAGGGGCGCCTGAGGATGCAGCGCTGGCTGTGCTCCAGGTAAATTGGAGGCAGTCCTAGAAGTAAGAACATCCATCATGCTTAGCAAGATCTTAGGTTGTAACGGCTGCCTTGAGCCTCCAGACATTTTTTATAAAGCTCTCGGTCATGAAGCGCTCTTTCCGCCTCTGCTGCCATATGTTTTTCCAGCTGGACCTCCACCAGTCTTCCGCTCTCCAGAAAGTTCTCATTCATTCAGCCCAAGGGTACCAAGTTGGCTTTTCTGAGGGCTGCTGGAAGTTTCAGCAGGAGTCCTGGCCACGTGGAGAATCAAGCTCCCTGAGGTCGTAGATGAAGGTCTCAGACTGGGAGTCGGTGCCTTCCAATGCTGTGCTTTTCTTATTCAGTGTAAATGTGGAGAAATGTAAATATGCATATTTAGATATGTGAAACTGCATAAGAAAAAAAATCTTATTAGCATGCATTTTCTGTGATTCAGACTTCCTGGCCAAATCCAGAAGAAGGGAAATTTAAGAACAGGTTTTTGTCCACAGACTGGGACCCACCCACTTACTCTGATGAGCCAGGGGCCTCTGAACCTTGTTTTCACTGTTCATCTTCTATTCACCTGGGGCACTGGGGGGTGGGGGAGATGTTTTAGCTTTTCCAGATGCTGGTTTTCAGATTAGCCGACAACAAAGGTTGGAGTCACAACCCTTTGACACACATTGGGGCCAAGGCTTGCTTACCCTTCCAAATTCCCAGCAAAGAGTTTGCTCTTTATGATTCCAACTTGGTTGCTGTCCTGTTGGTCATTTTTCCTTGCGTGAATTTAGAATTCAGTTCTTCGTCCTCAAAAGCCTAATTGAAAAGAAAACTGTTCACATGTTCTCGGTGGTAAATTCTCCTTGGAAAACCCTCAGAAGGAATTGGGCTGTCCTTGTGAAAGTCTTAACATTACTGATATATCTGTATTTGATTTACAGTCAAAACGGGTCCACTTCCAGCTTTGGATTGTGCCCCTGTTACTTATAGGTAAGTCTTTGACTACACTTCCCGGCCCCCCACCCCTCCTAACTCAATGCTCCTCCTCTACACTCCTCAGTGTCCGGAGGCCCCCCTGTGTGCTGCTGCCACGTAAGGCCAATCTTTTCTTATCACCTTCACATGATGAAATCTGCAGGGGGCAAAAATAATACCTATGATAATGTAAAGAGGCCTTGGAACAACTCAAATTAGCAGTATAAAACCCAAAATTTTGACAGGTATTAGTTTGCGTAGACTAATTATATTCAGGGGTGACTGAAATTATCCAATCTGAAACGGTCAAGTATTTTTTAAAGCAGGCAACAGAAAGCAAGACAATGAGGAAATCACACCAATTTTCACTTTCTTTCTAGCTTGTTGGTTTCACTAAATGCTTAAATGAGAATATAATCACAATACTTCCAAACTGATTGTGTAACTGCTCTGAAGCTTGACGACGTACCCCCCAGCACTCACCATAATACAAGTGGCATATATCTGGTAGGTTACCCATTAAACGAGTGTGACAGATCGTATTTCTGGTTAATTGTTAGTTCCTTATGACCTTAGACTTTGCCTGTGTATTTAGTAACACCATCTGCTGTCTAGGGTAGCAATACTACCTTTTTACGTGAGGATTACTGTTCTTACTTCGTAAACAACAGTACTCAATCAGAGGTGTTGAAACTCTACCATAGAATTATTTAAATTATACTACCTATGGAAAGCTTGAAGAGAGAGAAACTGATTTTCTTCCCTGTGCTGGCTTTATTGGCTTCACCTAAAAATATCATAATTTATATGCCATAATAAAAGCATAAAAATGATTTCCAGGTTGTATTCTTGGTCTGCAAGACGAAATGTTTTAAAAGACCTCTGACTGTTATGTCTGTCTTGTTTAGTTTCTCCCAGGCTAGTTTCTCATAGCGAATCAATCTCTGGGAAATTTCCCAATAAAACAGACAATTAAGAACTAATTCTCACAAAGTGAAATGAAATGAGACTTTTTTTTTTTTTTTTTTTTAACCATCACTCAAGATCAAACCTCTTCATTTGGGGGCATGTTGAGAATCCTGCCAGCATTCAAGAAATATCAAAACATCTGCTCACGTGTCTTCTGTAATAAGGCAAATGTTGTCGGGGTTTTAAAGTGGGCTACCTGGTTTGGGACCCACAGATAGGAGCACCTGCGAAATGAGTTCTTGGTGGTTGGGGAGGCGAGGAGGAGCATTTACTTTTAATTTAACTAGCTTCCTGCTGTACACTGTAGTATACAGTAGTATACAGTGTACTGTAATGTAGTGTAATTCTCCCACCTGTGAATCACGACTTCCTACAAAACAGGGGCTCTCTGGAGCCGGGAGGACTGGTTTGCACCTAACTGGTATCTCCTGCACGAGGGGGGAAACTGCACTTTTCTGAGTCAGGAAAAAGAAACTCCCTTCAACAGTCCCTTTGTTTCTTTGTCCGCTAACCCATTCCCAGCCTTGATCCCAGAAGGGGCTGAGGTGCATGGAAATTGCTATTTAATTTTACCAGGGAAACGATAGCTCCTTAAAGGTGAAGACTTTTTCGCAGCAGCTGTAGTTCTTCATTCCTTAACGTGGTGACACTATTAAGAAGTCGAAGCAAGCACTGGCGGATAGAGCCCTCTAGGTCACATGTATCTGATTTGGAACTGACTTTTGTTACGACCTATGACAAGACTCACAGAATAGACCGTGATAAGCCCAGCACTCACACAACCCGTAACTTCATGCTAAAATATGGACACTTCACAGGGTGTGAGGCTTGAGGGTTGTTTTGGGGGGGGGTGTTTTTTGTTTTTTTGTGGAGTTTTTTGGTTAATTATGGGGAACCAGAGAGGTTGGCCTGAATACCCACCACATGAAAATAATCAAGAGGCCGTCTGCCAACAGAAAACAACTTCAAAAGTATGGAATGTAGAATTCTGAGCCTAAACCACTTGACAGCATCCCAAAAAGGCATGTCCTGACATGTTTTCAGTATAAGAGGGCTTCAGCATTCCAGGCTTTTAAAAGAATGTCTCCTGTTACAGCTAAAAGGGGCTGCTTCTCCTTTTCCACACTCTGAATTCATGGGATCTGAAAGTCTGATTCTGGGACACCCATTTTTAAAGATATGGAGTAATTTTTATATGAAAAGTAAGGAATATGGCTCTTTTTTGGTTTTAGAAAAAATAGTTGAAATGAAACATCCACATATAAGTGCTTCCCGCCAATACCATTTTTGAACTATACAGAACTTAGGAAAATTCATTAGGTTTCTTCATAATCAGACCCAAATAAATGACAAACATAAAGGAGGTTATAAATGTAACATTTCACTACAGTTAAGAGATTTCAAAATATCAGGATTCTTAGAACTTAACTCCCCTAACATCCTTTATAAATTCAGTATACAGCCAGCAGAGAAGCCGCACAGCTATTAAGTAGTGGAATCCTGGGTGAGAATACAAAAAAAAAAAAAAAAAAAAAAAAAAAACCCTCAAAACAAGTTTCCACATCCTGCTGCTCTATTCAGTCAGACTGTCAGTATATGGAACAGTTTTTTTGTTTTTCTCAGCTGAGGTCCTCTTGAGTAATCTGAAGGGCCTGTCAATAGTATATTGAATCTTCACCCATTTTCTATGAAGTATATACAGAACCTTTGCCTCTCTATATATGTAAAATAAGGCAGTCTCTCGTGGAAAGAAATATTTTCCATAAATCTTGAAAGACACTTTAATTGGGCATAGTAATGCTGATACAGATGCTTTTGCCCTGGCTAACTTATACTAAGTACAGACCATGGCTTAGGCACTCCTAGCCTGGGATCTGAGCCCAAACCAAGCAGACATAATGTTCTCAGATGATGTGATGATCTGGTAGCCACTTAACCTCACAACTTTATTTGGATGGCAAAATGCCCCAAAATAATGGGCAGGTCATTTTTCTGCATTGTTTTGTGATACCACATGTGTCAGAAGAAATGTCAGCCTTGGATTTGTCAAATTCCCCCCACCCCCGTATTCCTACTAAATCACCCACCATGGGAAGGGTCTGAGTAGAGATGGCATCTCCTCTCCCACTAGAGTAGAACGTGGGCTCAGGGTGTCCAGGTGACCTGCCTCAGGTGATCTGCCAGGTGTGTGAACAGAACCTATGGTTCCTGGGCCACTTCCTGCGCAGGTATTGACATGTACGTAAAAAGAACCTGAGAAGAAAACAGAAATAGGAGGTAGCCCACCAGTGGGCTAAAGAAAGAACTGCAGTCTGAGAAACATGGATTCTAACTGTTATTCACCCAGACATTTTCTTTGAAGGCAAAGTCTTCATTCTCTTGGTTGCCCAACTTACCAAATTGATAGAGTGAGAGAACATGACATCTTGTCATGGTGAAGAGTAATGGATTGGTCTGTTAATGCAAACATAGGCAAGTAGGGAGGTAGTGGAATAAAAGCAGCCTGAAAAATGTTCCAGATCTAGCTATCTCTGAAATGCTAAGAGATAGCCCCTAGGAAGTTCACATGGGGGTAGTTCCCAGGCAAGTCTCAGATCCATTTCCTCACTGAGGAATTTGCTTGAAAGGCTGACAAGGCTGGCCAACAAGCCCATCAAAGTTCATCTGTGCTTTAGCTGTCTGTGACAATCTTTTTAGTAAACACACTATATTTAGGCAGTCGCATGAGGAAATCTCTTTCTCTATTTCTGTCTACCAGTGGTCTTTTGTTAGGGCGCAAACGCGGGCTGTCTGTTTCCATGTATTTCGTTTTCTTACTCCCTGTGTCGGCTCAGTTCTGAGTGTGAATTTGAACCGTCTCGATGGTTTTGCACTCCCCTTGGCAAAGAAGCACTGCCATGTGGGCACAGGATCGGATGTGTGAATGCATATGCACACTTACTCCAATTAATAAATTACAGCCCACAATGAGTCTTTAAAATTTTTCTTCCTTTTTTCCTTTTGCAGGGAGTTTGCTGTGTCTCCTTTGTACATAAAACTAACCACACACACAAAAAAATAGAGATAATTTTACTGTTAAATAGTTAGATCTTTTGATATTACTAGAATATCACCTGTACACAGTACTCATAAAACAATTGTTTTCAATAACAATACTATCTCTCTCTCTTTTTTTTTTTTTGTTTTTGTTTTATCTTTTGTTGTGGAGAAGATGTTGGGTTGGCCCTTAGTGCTTCTTCAGGAAGAATGGTCTATAAATAGGTGTGATTTAGTGTGTTCCACGGTCGGGTAGGTTGAGGGTCTTCCTACATGGCCATCTTGGACTGGAACTCCTCCTCCTACATTTTTTTTTTTTTCTAAACACATTAGACAAGAGCCAAGTAAGCCACCAGAAGAGATTATTGAAACCCCATTGGTAAAGGCCAAATTTTCCTGCTGATTGGCATTCTTTTACAAAATATATTCTCAGCTTGTCAAGAGAAAGTCAGTATAGTTCATACTGGCTCACTTCGTTTTCATAAGAAATACAAACAATAACAATGAAGGCCTATTTGGAATAAGTTATGATCATTTTGCTTTCTATAGGTACTTTATAACCAGAAATGCTATGGAATATCTGACTTCACATGTTGTTGTTGTTGTTGTTGTTTTTTTTCTTTTCAGGGCCCCCAAGCGCCTTATATGTATTTGTCTGAGTGCAGAGTAGCCAGGATTGGAATCCTATAACAGGAATTAAATGATTTCATGAGATTTTCCTTTTTGTTCTTAAGGAAACACATCATATGGAGCTGAAGGTGCAGTATTCCAATTTGGTGATTGCCCAAACCATATTCTCACCCAGCTAAATCCCAGAATGGAAATCTCTTATCCTACCACCAACATCGATTTCAATTTAAGGTTTATAAAGACCAGTGCAAAATAGCTTGCCATTTAAGGAGTCCCATACCAGCCATGGCGTGGTGGCAACTGTCTCTCATCTCTACCATCTCCCTCTATCTATTGTGATTGTTTACTTTTCTTTGGATTGCATGTCCTGTGAACTACCCTAGAATTGCTTTTTTTTTCCTATAAATATAGACAGAGATTGGCACATCTTAACATTCTTTTTGTTAACATTCACAAATGTTAACACTCTCTTGCTAGGTTTCTACACTGTGCTTACATGATTTTCTTTTAAATTCAAAATGAACGTAGAATCTTCTAGACTATATCATTAGACAACAGGACTCATACCTGGATTTCAGTTCTTATGCTTCCCTTTAATTTACTGTAGGCATATCACTTAATATTTCAATACCTTAGGTTTTCATTTCTGGGAAAGGATGACCAGATAACAGAATTTATGGTTGAAATATCTTTTTTTGAATATCCAGATGAAAGATATAAATAAACACCAAGTGACCATATTATCCTTAACCTTTTAGAATTGTAACATCTTCCATTTTTTCGGTCCCTTACTATTGAATGTGTATGCAGGAAAGTCACATTTTAAGTAGATAAGCTAATGAAAAGAAAATTTACCATCTTAGTATTTTCAAACATTGTCCTTGAAGTTAGTTCACTATTTTGTTAGCATCTTCCTAGTGATATCTTTTAAAAGATTTTGGTGAGTGTCTTAAATATCGGTTAAACCCGCATTCAGACATTTTTCCAGAAAAGTACATTTCATCATACTCTTTCCAAAAAGTCAATAGGAGGGTTCTGGCAGCAAATGGCTGTTGAATCCCTTCCAGTTCTCCTACAAATTTCCTTGCAGACTGAGCGAGTGTGTGACCTCAATCTCTCCTTTGTCTGTATTTTTCACTTAGCTCTTTAAATACTGACACAGTAAGTAGTTAGCCTACATCAAGACCCTAATTTTTACTCTAAATGGGGACCTATACATATGTTTATACATAGGCTGGTGACTAACAGCTTCTGTGTATAATATGTGGGTGATTAAGGGCTCCTGTGATTTTATTTGGCCTGATTCTTAGACCCTCCACAGAGAGTTTATCTCCTCCACATGCAAAAGTCTCTTTAATATCCGAACGCTTTCTGTGCACAGGGGAGGCAGGCTACAGGAAGAGGTCAAACAGAGGGAAAGTATTTCTAAAAAAGTGTATTGCGATTTGAAAACCAGTAGAACTGTCTCATAAAATGCTATTACTTAGAAGAAGGGCTTTCCTATCTACTACAGAAGGTTCATTTATGTCAGGACTCTCCATGTTATGTATAGATGTATTCATTAAACAAGTATGTTCAAGTACATATTCATAATTTTTTTTTTTTAAGCAGAAAAGCCCTGAGCAGCACATGTGTTCTTCCAGCCTTATGGCAGTTTTGCTCAAGTACAAGGAGCTAAGGATGTTATTCACAAAAATCCAAGTGACACGCGGCTGCGTTTTGTGTTTTTTTTTTTTTTCTTTTCTCCTTCAAATATGCCAGGGTCAGAGTTTAAGAAGCTCTAGTATGGTTGCAACATTATGCTATTAATAGAAACTGCACTCTAAAGAATGAAGGCTGTGAGTCCACATGTGGGTATAGGGTGAAGTGCATGAACTCAGCAGTCTCTAGGAATACCACCTCGTGGACAGCACACAGATGCAACCCTCCCCCAGCTGCGTGTTCTCAGGGCTAAGTTCCCTCAGGGTCCTCTGGAAGGAACCACTTTTTTTACACTGCCCTGTGGACTGTCAGGACAGGGCTGTGGTGTGTTAACAAGGGCATCTCGACTGGAGTAAGCTCCGGGGACCAGATTCAGATTTGAGATGTTTAATGCTCACGCAGTGGAAGCCCATGTAAACCTCAGTGCGGGGAGTTCAGATTCGCTCCATCCATTGAGCTTTCACCTGGAACTGCTGCTCCCTTGGTCTTAACAACGGATCGCTTCCCTTATTCCTTCTTTTTGATGGTATCATACAGAGCGGCTTTCCTTTTGCTCAACTGTGGTTTTTACTTTAAAGAAAAAAAAAAATCTTAGAAATTAGAGCTAGAAAGGACTGTTGCTTCATCTAACCTCAGCAGAAGTGTTCCCCAAAGAATATTTCCTTTAGTTCTTAAGACCAAATTGCAGCACTTCAGTGTTCTGGTTAAAAGCCAGCCTCAACGCACTGCCCCGCCAACCCGTCATGCAGCATCCACCTGTCTGTCCATGTCCGAATGTATAGGAGCACCCTGCAGCCAGCCAACCTGGTAACCTTGACTCTGAAAGGCAAAGATTATCATAATAATGCTCTTCTCAAAAGACCTGCAGCCTTAAGCAAGAGGGCAGGGTCTACGTGACTAAAACATACCAACTTCCTCTTTCATAAGTCATCACATGATGAACTACAATTACAATTCCTGCCTTGTCTCTGCGAATTGCAGACGCATTGCCTCACCCTAGAAACCCTGCTTCTGTGCGTGGAGGAGGCGGCTGGAGCTGCTGCAGCAGCCGCTTTGGAAGGGATCCAACTCCAGTCTGTGCCGGGAGGGAGGGCGGAGGGTGGAAGACGAAAACAAAGCTATGTTTACTTAGCATAGATCGATAAAGCTGCTTCAGAGCTACATGAAAGGCCAGGCAGCATGAAAGACTTTTGATACAATATAAGGAATAGCTGCCCCGGTTCCAGGGCCAGCCTTAACCCCCTCGATTCCGGAGCCTTTTATGGCAAGAGAGACCCGAACTAAAATAGCCTTTCCATTCTCCAGCAGGCATTTCATTAGGGAAGTTACAACAACATGGTTTCGACATTCAAGTCCTAGTGTAAGATAAAAAGGAAATGCCCCTCATTTGGAGAAGAAAAGCTCTGTTCTACAGAAATCCTTCCTTAGTCCCTCTCGAGGCAGAATTCGTATCTCAGAATTTCTATTTTGGGATGGAACGGCAGGCTTTCCCTTGAGGGCATTACATACAGTACCAGCTTGCAGGTAAACGAGTATAATTAGGCCATGGCTCCAACACAGGGTGGTGGTGGTGGTTGTTTAAATGTTCCAGTCATTGCCTAGTGGGGGCCATCTCTTGGGGGTGTTCAGATGGCTCATCTCTCTGCAGCACAAAGACGGGACCTTGCCCACTCTGGGCAGTGGCCTGGGAAGTCATGTGCTTCGATGAGTGGCCCAGGGTCTCCACGGAGAGTGACCAGAGGGGCAGGGTCCTAAAAGAGGTTCCAGACAGCAGGTACCACGAGGAGTGCCCAAGCCCCCCCCCCCTCCCCCGGCAGGGAGGGATCTGGGCAGGCCCAATCCTCCCAGCAAGAAGAGGGTGAGGCAGGATTGCAATGGCAAGCAAGATCCCGGAACAGATGGGGAGACCTTTATGGCAAGTACACCTTCTCTGGAAATCCCCAAGAGAAGAAAGACATGCAGGGTTGGCCTGTAAACACATTTAGGTCTGGCATTACGTTTTCCGTGCCACTTTCGAACAGGTTTCTTCATGTGCTTTAAGCAGCTCCCTCCACTGTTTCTCGGAGGGTGTTTTTCCTCTTCCTTGTGGTTAATCCTTTGAAGCAACCTGGCATTTTCAATAGCAACAACCAGAGAGAAACGTCAGCAGGATTTTTTTCTCTCTCTCCAACCTACCAATCCAGTTGTAGGAACGATAATGTAATTAGTGCCCTGTTCTTCCCACACTTAACCAGCCCATTCCAGTCTCTGGGAGAGATGTGGGCCTGTTTTCCAACAAAGGAAACTCCAAAGGGCCGCCCTTACCGAGCTGAAGTGTCTGGTCCCCAAACGAGAGTGACTAAGCCCGCGCCTACTAGTGAGACTAAGGACCGGCCAGGAGTGATTTACCATGACACACACCAGCTCCTCCTCCCGATAAAAGTGTGAAGCTCGGGTGCTCCCTTCAGTCTGGGCACCGTCTGCGGCCGCCAGCCGGGGCAGAGCGCGGCGCGGCGGGGCGGGGCGGGGCGGGGCGGGCGGGCTCAGCGGCCGCACCCCGCCTTCGCGCCAGCCGGGTAGGCCCCCGCCGGCCTGGGCCGCGCCGTCGGTCCCGCCCGCCCCCCAGCGGCGCCGGGGACTCCCGCCGACCGCGCAGCCCCGCGCCGCCGCGGCCGCCGCCACGGCCACCGCCACGGCCGGCGGGGACCCCGGCGCCCGCGCCCCGTGCCACCGCGGCTCCGAGCTCGGCCCCGGGGGCGGGGCCTGGAGGCCCACTGCCGCCGGAGGGGGCGGAGCCTGCGCCGTGACGCGGCCGCGCTGGCCGTAGACCCCGGATCCCCGGAATGTGCGTCCGTTCAATGAGGCCGCCCGTGCCAGCCGCGCCGAGTCACGTCCGCGCGGAGCGTGCGCACTCGGCGGCGGCGACGGCGGCGGCGGCGGCGGCGGCGGCGCACGCGGGCCCGCGGCTCCGCGCCCACGTCACGCGCCCGCCGCGCGGTTCTCCATAAGGCGGTCCGGGCGGCCGGCGCCGCGAGGACCCCACGCTCCGCGGGGCGGGGCCGGGAGGCCTCGGTGCCCGCCGTGGGGGGGGGGGGATCCGCCGAGCGGCGTGTGGACGCGCTCCCAGGCTTGGCAACGGCCAGCCGCCTCCGCTAGTAGAACTTCAGGGCAGCGCCGGCGCGTGTGTCCTTTCCAAGACCAGGGCGAGTGTAACTCCTGAAAAGCACCAAAACTGTGAACCACGCTAGGTTGAAAATCCCCATCCTCAAGAGGCTGACAGCACCGAATCAGAGCGGCCTTGCTCGTAGAAACACGAGCGGGAAGCCGCATTCGGCCCAAACGTTCTGGAGGGGAGGAAGGGTGACCGGGCAGTGGAGGCAGCCGAGCGGCCGCAGGGAAGTGAGCCACCGGGACTCGCGTGGCGGGGCGGGCGGCGCGGAGCCGGCTCTCCCGGCAGCGCTCCTTCTCCCGGCGCAGGGCCGGCAGGAGGGGGCGGGGGAGGGCGCGAGCGCGAGCGCGCGGGCGCGCGCGGGGGAGGGCGGGCGCGTGCCCGCGCGCGCGCGCGCGAGGGGAGGGGGCCCGCGCAGGCGCGGTGCGAGGCTGTCGAAGAATCAAGTCTGTAGAAGTGGAGCGGCCGCGGCGGCAGCAGCAGCAGCAGCGACGGTGGCGGCGGAGCTGAGGCGGGCTGGGCGCTGACGCGGGTGCTGGAGAGCGGCGACGCCAGGAGCTGTGAGACGACAGCGGAGCGACCCGGGGCCCGCGCCGCGCCCGCGCTCCACGCCGTCCGGCCGCTGCCTCGGCGCGGCATGACCCGCCGCTCGGGCTGAGCCTGCCCCGGCGGCCGCCCCCCGCCCCCCGCCCCCCCGGCCTCCCCGCCCCCCGCCCTGCACTCCGCGCCGGCCGCCGCCGCGACCTGCTGCGCTCCCCCGCGCCCGCGCGGCCCGTCTTCGCTCCGGTCTGGAGGCCGGCCGCGGCCCCGGCCGAGCCCTCGCCGCCGCCGCCGCCGCCGCCGCCGCCGCCGCCGCGCCCGCCGCGCCGCGCCGCGCCGCCGCCCGCCCGCGCCCGCGCCGGCCGGGGGGACGTGCTGCCGCGGCTGCAGCCCCTCGCCCCGCGCCCGCCGCCCCTCGTGCCCCGGGGGCGCTGCGCGGGCGCCGAGCCTTCGCGGGCTTTGCCGCCGCCGCCGCCGCCGCCTCTGCGGCCGCCGCCGCCGCTGGTGGGAGAGACGCGGGGTTGGGGGGGGAGGAGGGCGCGCGTGGTGCCGGCGGGGAGCGGCGGCGCCCCCTCCTCCTCCTCCGCCTCCGCCTCCTCCTCCGCCTCCACCTCCAGCGCCGCGGGCTCCTCGGACATGGCCGCGGCGGTGGCGGTGGCGGCCGCTTCCCGGCGGCAGTCGTGCTACCTGTGTGACCTGCCCCGCATGCCCTGGGCCATGATCTGGGACTTCACGGAGCCCGTGTGCCGCGGCTGCGTCAACTACGAGGGCGCCGACCGCGTCGAGTTCGTCATCGAGACGGCGCGGCAGCTCAAGCGGGCGCACGGCTGCTTCCCGGAGGGCCGCTCCCCGCCCGGCGCCGCGGCCCCCGCCGCCGCCAAGCCGCCGCCGCTGTCGGCCAAGGACATCCTCCTGCAGCAGCAGCAGCAGCAGCAGCAGCAGCAGCAGCAGCAGCAGCTGGGCCACGGCGGCCCCGAGGCCGCCCCGCGCGCCCCGCAGGCCCTGGAGCGCTACCCCCTGGCGGCCGCCGCCGAGCGGCCCCCGCGCCTCGCCTCCGACTTCGGCGGCAGCCGCCCGGCCGCGGGCCTGGCCCAGCCGCCGACGCCGCAGCCGCCGCCCGTGAACGGCATCCTGGTGCCCAACGGCTTCTCCAAGCTGGAGGAGCCCCCGGAGCTGAACCGCCAGAGCCCGAACCCGCGGCGCGGGCACGCCGTGCCGCCCACCCTGGTGCCGCTCATGAACGGCTCGGCCACGCCGCTGCCCGCCGCGCTCGGCCTCAGCGGCCGCGCCGCCGCCTCGCTGGCCGCCGTGTCCGGGGCCGCGGCCGCCGGCCTGGGCTCGGCGCAGCCCGCCGAACTGAGCTCGCACAAGCGGCCGGCGTCCGTGTCGAGCAGCGCGGCCGCGGAGCACGAGCAGCGCGAGGCGGCGGCCAAGGAGAAGCAGCCGCCGCCGCCGCCGCCGCCGCCCTCGCACCGCGGCGCCGCCGCCGACAGCCTGGCCGGCGCGGCCGGGGCCACCGAGCTGGGAGCCGAGGGCGCGAGCAAAGGCCGCGGGCCCGGGGAGCAGGACTGGGTCAACAGGCCCAAGACCGTGCGAGACACGCTGCTGGCGCTGCACCAGCACGGCCACTCGGGGCCCTTCGAGAGCAAGTTTAAGAAGGAGCCGGCCCTGACTGCAGGCAGGTTGTTGGGTTTCGAGGCCAACGGGGCCAACGGGTCTAAAGCAGGTAGGGGCGGCTGTGGAGTGCGAGGGGACCTAGGGGGCGAGCGGGGGAGGCGGACCAGCGGAGGGGGTGCCCTTGCCGTTCACCGCTCAGCCCCAGCCCAGAAACAACAAACACCCAACTTCCTGATCTGCCCGAGGCGGAACCAGTGCCTAGTGGCAACGTGTTCATGTGCTGAAGCAGCATAACAGAGATGAGTCACACTGGGCTGATAGGCACTGACACAGGGTTTTCCTTTCCCAGCACATTCTTGGGTGGGAGCGGGAGGGCACCAGCCACCCTTTAACTTGCTGGGGGCCGTTAGCAGTCGAATGCACGGTTCCACGTGTAGGTACGGGCGGACGTGCGTGCGTGCATGTGTGAAAACAGGCTGTCACTGCGGTGCTGCGTTCTGTGGCTTATTTTCAAATCAAATACTGCCTAAGAGCCCCGTAAGCCCTAAGTGAGGGGAGTTGCACGTGCACTTGAAACTCCTGAGTGAGATTTTTTATATAGGGGCTTGGAGAGAATAGGAATTCTTCAGTGGATCTTGTTTTGTGTTAGTGGAAGAAAGGTCCTTTTCAGCGCACATCCGTTTATTCTTTTCTTTTTTTCCCCCCCTTCTCAGTTGCCAGAACAGCAAGGAAGAGAAAGCCTTCTCCAGAACCAGAAGGTGAAGTCGGCCCCCCTAAGATCAATGGAGAGGCACAGCCATGGCTGTCCACACCCACCGAAGGGCTCAAGATCCCCATTACTCCTACATCCTCTTTTGTGTCTCCACCACCACCCACTGCCTCACCTCATTCCAACCGGACCACACCGCCTGAAGCGGCTCAGAACGGCCAGTCGCCCATGGCAGCCCTGATCTTAGTAGCAGACAATGCAGGGGGCAGTCATGCCTCAAAAGATGCCAACCAGGTTCACTCCACCACCAGGAGGAATAGCAGCAGTCCACCCTCTCCGTCCTCTATGAACCAAAGAAGGCTAGGCCCCAGAGAGGTGGGGGGCCAGGGGGCAGGCAACACAGGAGGACTGGAGCCAGTGCACCCTGCCAGCCTCCCAGACTCTTCTCTGGCAGCCAGCGCCCCTCTATGCTGCACCCTCTGCCACGAGCGGCTGGAGGACACCCACTTTGTGCAGTGCCCGTCTGTCCCTTCGCACAAGTTCTGCTTCCCTTGCTCCAGACAAAGCATCAAACAGCAGGGAGCTAGCGGAGAGGTCTATTGTCCCAGTGGGGAAAAATGCCCTCTTGTGGGCTCCAATGTCCCCTGGGCCTTTATGCAAGGGGAAATTGCAACCATCCTTGCTGGAGATGTGAAAGTGAAAAAAGAGAGAGACTCGTGACTTTACGGTTTCAGAAAAACCCAATGATTACCCTTAACTAAAACTGCTTGAATTGTGTATATATCTCCATATATATATATATATATATATATGTATATACATATATATACATATATATATACACACACACACTCATATATATATATATATGCATATATATATATATATATATCCAAGACAAGGGAAATGTAGACTTCATAAACATGGCTGTATAATTTTGATTTTTTTTTTGAATACATTGTGTTTCTATATTTTTTTTTTTTGACGACAAAAGGTATGTACTTATAAAGGCATTTTCTTCTTTTGTTAATGTTATTAGCATATCTTTGTGCTTTATTATCCTGGTGACAGTTACCGTTCAATGTAGGCTGTGACTTGCGCTGCTTTTTTAGAGCACTTGGCAAATCCGAAATGCTTCTAGCTGTATTTGTATGCACTTCTTTTAAAAAGAAAAAAAAAAAAGCCAAATACATTTTCTGACATTGTAAGATTGCCTTACTGTCTGTTATTCCTTAATGCTGGCCCCTTTCTCAGGCTGGAGGCCAGTTGGTGGAGAAGGAAAGGGAAGGAGCCAAGGGGGCACTGTTGTGAAGTGGGTGGCATGCCACTGAGAAATATCACCAAGTTTACCCCAAAACATTGTCCTCTCAGAGTAGTAGGAAAATAGATTTTGAATCTTTTATCTATTTTGTTCTGAAAGTTCAGTTGTTGGGGTATTGACTGCCTGAGAGTTGCTGCTGAGAGATTTTCAGGACTCTGTGGTTTGGTGGGGGGGGGGGGGATTTTTTTTTTTTTTAAAGGCAAAGTTGACCACTGTTCACTGACCACGTGATCAGTTGTAAGATTACAATGCTGCATGCTAGTTGGTTACATAATACACAATTCAGTGACTGAAGGCGGTGATAATGGATGGTGGTGTGTACAAGATGGCACTGCCATCTTTGAACAGAGCCTGGCTCTGCAGCGCCACTTTATCTTTTTAAACACCCTAGAGCTCTGTTTGTTGTTGGTGGTGTCTTTTCCTTTGAAAAGAGTTGCAAGAGAAGTTACAGTTCAGGTGAACTTGGAGATTGTGGGATTGGTTTCGTTTCTGTTTTGTGTTTTGTTTTGTTTTTATCATTTACCTGTAGTGCTATTGCTGTTGGTACTATCACCTACACCCTGTTTCTAGTGAGTGCTAAATACAGTATGGTACAATGACAGTAACGGCGCATGGTGCTGCCAGGACTGCCCGTGGGCATATCAGTGACAGCCCAGATGGGGGTGGAGGAAACCTGTAATTTCCTTCTTATGTGTGTTTGAAATACCAAGTGAATAATACTGTTCTTCTGGAAAAAAAAAAAAAAAAAAGATAAACTAGTGAAAATTGAAGAAAGGGTTTTAATAATAGGCAGGCGCCCCACCTCTCAAACTATTCTTAGAAACCTTTTGTAAACTAATTTCTTTGATCACTATTTTGCATCAGTAAAATGATTTTTTTTAAACCAATAAATCATCTGTTATTAGAAATAGTTGTCTCACAATGATACTGGTTTTTCTTTTGTGCTGTTACAATTTAACATTGACAGGAACACTATTTTATATCCTTTTATGTTCAGGTGTTTGTAACTTGGCCCTATAATTAGGCTGAATCATGGCTTCAAGGTCTACAACTTAAGTGTATTGTTTACGACCTAGCTTCTATTCTAATTTGAAGATAGAGATTATTATCCTCTTTGGATTCTTTTTTAGTTATGTTTTTGTCTTTTTTAAATTGCTCAAATATTTTTTAATGGTCGAGTTATTAACACTTGAAAATCAGATACTGCACCAAATACAGTATTTTTTTGTGTGTGTTTTTAATGAGTGCACTTATTATTAATGCTGTGCAAATTCATGTTACCGGTCATTGTTATATTACAAACAGACTTGCATGATTAACCAGTTTGTTGTTACACTTTTTTTTTTAATTGGCGCATCTATGACTCAGATCAGACTGGTTTCTCTTATGTAAATGCACACATGCAGAAACACAGAGTCGATTTTACACGCCCATAAAGACATTTGTAAAGAATTCAACAATTATGGTTTGTTATATAAATGTGTATCTAAGCACTTTATTATAAACTGGAATTTGACCTCATAGATTTTGCAAGTTGATCAGTTATTTGACCTAATTTGTGGTAGCTATCTGTATGCTTTGCAATCTTAATACAGATAAGCTTGCCAAAAAAAGATTAACAAAGAACCATCCTGCTGTTTTGAATAAGTCTATCCAGCTGTGGAAAAGACAACCTTCGGTTTCTCTGTGCTGGTGTTTAGGGAGGGAGCGGGGGGAGAACAGGAATAGCTTTAAAGGGCTGAGAATTGAGGTTGCTCCCATTAAAAAAAAGGAGGTCTGCGTGAATCCACCTGGCCCTTGGGTGGCCTTCGTGGAAGGCTTGCAGCTGTAAAATGTTGATCTGGGTTATTTTTCTGGCATTCTCTTAAGTTAAAAAGTTAACGCTGGGACATGGGCTTGATCTTTGGTTGTACCTGATGACAGTGCAGAGATTCTCCACAGCTGGATAAAAATGTCAGAAAGCTACTTACTGTACGTGGGCAGTATCAGATTTCAGATCCTAAATATTTCAGCTGTGCTTTTCATACTCAAAATATTAGGGGATGGGGTGTTGAAGCTTTCCCTTTTTTGCTTTAACAACTTACAGAATTTAACAGATGTACTGTCTTTCATGTGGCCTCACATTAAAAGTTATGAGAACGTTCACATGGTTTACAACTTTTACTATATACCTTTCCTCGGCCACCAAGTATTTTTAAAGTGTGCCACCTTTTAACCTTTACTTTTTTTTTTTAAGTTGAAGGTGATACTTTTTCTATATATGATGAAACTCATGTCAGCTGAAGTGAGTGTAATCTCAGATACCAACATTATTATATTTCAAAATCACGCTATGGAAAAATCACCTGCATTCTGTCATTTGTCAGATTTACAGTACCTTTTTTTTTTCTTTAACTTTTAGCATTAAATAAAAATAAAATTGGCAGCACTGAACATTTTCTGAGGCCTTTTTTAATTTTTTAAAGTAAGCTCAGAATGGCTATTGTTTTAATCACACTAATGACAACGTGACCAAAGGATGTGTGGGTTTGGGGTTGGGGTTTGCCTGGAACAGCAGGAGAAGAACAGGAGATAAAAGACACGGAACAAAAAGGCAACTGATCATGGGGGGGGGGGGGAGGAAAAAAATAAAAGTGCTAGGGACTGGGGGAAAGGGCAGCTGGATAAGGGAAACAGATAAAGAGAAGAGCTGAACAAAGTACAGCTAGAAAGCACTTGTTTATTTTTCAACTTGCAGTAGAGCCAGCCACTCTACAATTGTAGACTGGACGGAAAAGATCCTGACAACGCTGCAAAGGCTATCGAGACTTGGAGCTGCTCTCTGGAAAGCTTTGGAATGAAACAGCCATGTTGAGCTGTGTGAAATGTGTGGAAGACAAAAGAGGGAAAGCAGCCTACCTTTTGGAAAGTTTTGGAATAAAGTCAGGGCGAAAGCCAGGTGTAAGGTTTCTCGATGTCCCAAAACACAAATTTATAAATAAGAAGACGTGCAAAGCACCAGGACACATTTGCAAGACATCGTAAGACAGATAGTTCCTAGATGTTTTGCAGCCTTTACTCATTTTATTGATCAGTGGCTTGGCCGACTTGTAGAAAGGAAGTTGTGGACCTGACAAAGACTCAGGATAGGGTACACACAGACTCTGTGTTTTAAATTAAACAGTAACAGTTAATGTGTAACAATATATTTTCAGCAGGGGTGGTCTGGGAACTTGGGGGACCCATCACTACGTGTGTGTCAATTTTTTTTTACTAGTAGCCTGCTTAAGGCAGTTTTCAAGAAACTGTATTCTTAATAAGTTAATTATAGCTTATGATATACAACACGATGTTTCATTTAGTAATCAGGTTAAAAGAAATGTCGAACTGCCCACTTTTTTAAACTTAAGAATGCTAAATTTTATTTTTAGGAAAATTTAAAAGACTGCAGCTTGCAAAAGTCATTTATTAAGATTTCAAAATCTCCTCCCAAAGTAAACCTTAAGGATTGCATTCAGTTTCCAGTTTAAAAAAAAAAAAAAAAAAAAAAACAGACTCTTGATGTGGCAGATGTCTTTGTTTATTTCCCAAAGGAGGGAAAATGTTAAAGGGAAAATACAGAACTCTTCAATTCCTAGACTTAAGTCCCTCGTTACTCAAAGTTGTTTTGCATATGATTTATAGATGGTTTTATTTGGTTAGTGAAGAGTAAAATGTTTCTCTTCCTAATTCCAAAGTGTATACGTGGAATCATTCAGAAAAATGTTCAGTCGCGTGTAGGCCACTAGAAGTCCTGAGTCACCCTCATTTGCTCGCCTTTTCTTCATAGGGAACAGTGTGAGAAGACACGCCTTCCCTCTGTCACAGACCAAAGAAACCAATGAATGGAATACATATTTACCTACTTCATCATCTGGGGTTCTAGAAGTGAGAGGTGGGGTGGGGGATGCTATTTAACTCTTTCAGTGCTACTGGCTGGGCCTCTAACAGCAACAGTACTGATTATGATCAAATAGAAATTACCATGTGGCTTCCCAGATTATCAGTAATCTAGAGCCTTCATGGTTGTTTTTGTTGATAGCCTACATTTTTCCTCCAGTTAGGAACCCCAGGCAGTAATTTCAAAGGCACAAAAATATACAAAAAAATCAATTTGTAAATTCAGAGGTTGGAAGGTAGAAAGTGACTGATTTGTGGATTATCTGTGGATTTCTCTAATAATCCCCAGATAAATCCTTAATGAGGGATATCCACACCATCCCTATTTACTGTTAACTAATTCGTACCTAATTTAACAGTGGATTTTGTTTTAACCCATTAGTCTGCTGTTGCCTGCTCCTTCCCTGTGTCAGTACAACTTCACATGCTTGATTTTAAAACAGCTTCCCTTTTTAAAATTGAGAGATAATGTATTTTTTTTTAAGTGATAGAGTACAGAATCTGTATTTGCACTGATCTTTATCACAGAATACTGGGTGCTTCTGTATGGCACTAAGCAGCATAAAACGGCCCTTACAAGCTACAGAAAAGGTATTAGGGCAAGAAAGTATGCTATAGGCAAAATCAATTTTAGAATCATGTGGATATTCGTCTTAAAGCTACTCTTTTATTTTGGTTCTGCGAAACAACTGAGTAAAATCTTAATAGAACAACCTTCTTAGAATGGTGATAAACAATTTCTTCTATAGTAGAGACTTAAATAATGCTTTGAAAAAAATGTAGCTCTTTAAAACTCAAAGTCTTAGTAAAATGAGTCTTCAGTGCACATCAAGTTTATCACAAAGTCAGCCATGAAAATCCTCTAGGAGGTGATTTTCTTTTAGGTCAGACAAGGTCTGGATAAAAGACTACAGGATTCCTACTTTAAATTGGAAGCATCAATGCACTGGTTGAGCTCGTCTTTTGAATGGACTTTGGAAGTTGGATTGCATAATCGAAGAGTCTTTTCCAGCAATTCAGAAGGCCTGAGATAAGGCATCCTATATAGAGTAATAATGTCCTATTTGAATATTTTTAAATATAGTTTGCATCTTGGGGAAAATGAACTGTGACATAATCTGTAGATCCCATCACTTAATCACTCTTACTTAGCAATGACTATTTCATTCTTTTTTTTTAACCAATGACTATTTCACTCTTTTTTTTTTTTTTAAAGATGTTGCTTATTTATGTGAGAGAGAGAGAGAGAGAGAGAGAGAGAGGCAGAGATAGCAAGAGAGCCACAAGTGGGGAGAAGCAGGAGAAGCAGGCTCTCCACTGAGCCGGGAGCCCAACTTGGGACTTGATCCCAGGACCCCAGGATCGTGACCCGAGCCAAGGGCAGAAGCTTAGCGGACTGAGCCTCTCAGGTGCCCCTATGTCATTCTTTATGTCACTATTATCAGTTGACATTCAGATGCACATGAGGGGACAGGCATCATGCACAACCAAGGAGTCACATTTTGTTGTGTAGGTACTCAGGTAGCAAGTTTAGCAGATAAATATTTGGATCATTGCATATTTCTCTGCCTTTTGGAAAATCTCTTTACCATGAGTTCAAATCGAATACTTTGAACTGTAAATGTGGCTATTTTGGAAAAAATAAGTTCAGAAACATTTCATCAGAACTCAGGGCCTTAATTTATTTTTTAAAAATTGTATTTATCTACTCATGAGAGACACAGGCAGAGACACCGACAGAGGGAGAAGCAGGCTCCTCACAGAACCAATGTGGAACTCGATCCCAGGACCCCAGGGTCATGCCCTGAGCCAACCAGGCATTCCCCTAAATTTATTTTAAGGTATAGAGTTTATTAAAAGTAAGTTTAATGTGTAGTAAGAGTTTATTAAAAGAGCTTCAGATTTACCGAGGTTTTACCTTCTTTCACTGTATGATTTTGAAGTACTAGCCACACCAGTAAGAGTTCTGCAGAAAAGTGAATTGTAGGAGTAGGGATGGTCTGGGTCTGGATCAATCAGCATTTTGTTGCACAGTCTTGGTTTGGGGCCTCTCGTGTTCTCCAAAGCCTGAGAGACTGTGTGTGCTGCAAAATAGAAACAGGCGTCGTGAGCCTTAGCCCAGTCTAAAAGCCTCTAACCTCCGTTCTGTTATTTCTGCCTCCCAACAGCCAACCCATTAGCTTTTTTTTTTTCCGATAAAAGATAAAGATTTATTGTAACCCATATACATCTGAAATCAGAATTTCACAGGAAGGTCACAGTCATTAAAGAAGTTTTGGAATACTCTTCTCTTAATAAGCACCATATGGGTTGTCACCGTTCTTATTTGACACCTAGTAAGTAGGCATATCACTCTAGGCTTTGAACAGCTGAGCGTCTAGGGCCCAGCTTTCTTGGAGCTTAAGGACAATTCCACAGATAGGAAGGGCTGTCGGTGCGCTTAATTACGAGCCCTGGGGGAGGAAAGGCAAGCGCGCGGTGGTTTCCTGGCACGAGTTCGGAAAGTGCAGTTAGGGCTAAATTCTCACGTGGAGGACTGAGCCTCTTTCTAGAACTTTTACCTGGAAGCTCGGTAGGACTCCAGCACAGGAGCACGGTCCGGAGTCCTCAGTGCTTGCACGCAAGACACTCATTACGCGCAGCCTGCAACCGTCACGCAGGCAGGGGGCTTCGGGACCTCAGTAGCTTCTTACAAACCCAGAGGCCGTTGGAAAACATCGGGGCCACATCAGAATCGTCAATTGGTAGCTTTTTTTTTTTTTTTACTTTTTTTTTTTTTACTTTTTTTTTTTTTTTTTTTTTTTTTTTTTTTTGATTGTGGCTCACGGTGGCGTTTCTGCAAAGAAAGAAAACAGCCGCAGCCGCCAGCGCTGCCAAGCCGTGTTTACTGGAGGGGAAGGAAAGGGGAGGAGGCGCCCTGCCCCTCCGGCAGCCTGCGTCAGGGCCTGCGCCCCCGAGGAGACCTCGCTGCGGTCTCCAGCGCGGCTCCCGGACTCACGCCGCGCCCGTGTTTATTTATTCCAGGACTTGTGCCCGGGCAGCCGGCGCAGCGCACGTGGAGCGGGGCCGGGGGACGGCCCGGGGCGGCGGCGCCCCGCTCCCGCTCCCGCTCCCGCCAGCGAGCGGGCCGCGCGCCTAGAATTAGCGAGGAGCCGCGCCCCCGCCCCCGCCCGCGCCCCCGCCCGCGCCCCCGCCCGCGCCCCCGCCCGCGCCCCCGCCCGCGCCCCGCCCGCGCCCGCGCCCCCGCCCGCGAGGGCTGTGCGCGCGCCCCGGCCCGCGTGCGTCCCCGGCCGCGCGCTCCGCTCCGCTCCGCTCCGCTCCGCATTGGTTACCGCGTAGTGAACCAAATAAAGTAAAGGTCTGGCTGCGGCCGGGGCGGGCGGGGCGGGCGGGGGCGGGGTGTGGCGAGCCCCCCGCTGCCCAGAAAAGACCGGGCGCGCGTCAGCAAGGGCCTTGGCTGCCGCCGCGAGGGTCCCTGACGCGCGGCGCGGCTGTCCTGCGCGGATTTGCTGAGCTGGGGAGGGCGCATGACCAGAGCTGCCCCAAATGTCACTCCCTTTTTGGAGATCATGATGCTGCCTTTTTTTTTTTTTTTTTTTTTTTTTAAGACTGTGGCTAAAATAAGGCAAATGTTCCATGCTGGTGGAGTAAACACTCATATTTAAGGGGCATCTGTCTTTGGGGCGAGCACACCGAGGCACCGCGCGTGTCCATAAGAAATGTGTTTATTAAGCGGACCTCGGGACATGCCCATATGGGTGCTACAGTCAAATAAAGTTCTGTAACAACTGACTGCCTAAAAGGGAGTTGCTTCATTTTATAGAGAAACCTTTCCTTCAATTAGAACAGCAGGTTTTTTTTTTTTCTCCCATCAGAGTAGCACTGGGCTCTTGAGGTGCCGCGCGATTCGTTCACTTCTCATTTTTGTTAATTATTAGATCTAATACTCTGCAGTAACATCTCAAAAAAAATGCAAGAAGCGTGGCCCCCATTCTTTAAAAAAAAAAAAAAATGACGCTGAAATGCCATTTGTTCCCAGCCTTGGGGTGGGGGCTGAGGAGCCTCACTGTGGACTGTGTTAATAGTTTTAGTCATTGTTTAAAAGTGATTGCAGTTGACGGATGGGAACCTAAAAAAATAAAAGAAAATAAAGCCGTGCTCTAGGCACGAGTCTAGCAAAAGCCTTCCTTCGCCGACGTGTATTTCTTTCCAGACATCAGGCACAAAAACATTTGAGCAGCTCCAGATGAACTCCTACAAAGCAATCCTCTTCTTATATATTTTATCAAGGAACTCAGAAGGCTTCTCCGGTTGCATCTGGGTTCCTAGGAAGCTGGTTTTGCTTTTTTCCTGTGACTGTCGCTCTTGACAAGGCAGCACTTGAATCACCTGCTTGGCCCCTTCACAAAGATCTTTGAGAGGCTTTATGAGAACACGTCTTGGGACTGTCCAGTTCTGAGCCAGATACATGACACTGGAATATATATAGGTCAGGAAATCTCCAGATGCCCTTGGGCTTTGTGTGGCCATTTCAAGTAATTCAATTAAGTTTTGTGCTTCTGTCTACAATCATCATCATCATCATCATCATCATCATCATCATCATCATCATAATTGCCATATATTTTCCTTAGTAGGGGCACAGAGATCAAACTGGACTGTCTCAATGACAGCTTTTTGAGTTTCATCTATCAGCCAGACGTGAGAAAGCACTGGGTGTGTATGATACCAGCCTAGGTACTTGAGCGCAGTGAGTGTGTACCACTAAAAATACAGATTCTTGGTTATCATATCAAAGGGAGAAACAGAAAACAGCCTTGAAACACTGGAGAGAAGGGGCTCCCCCTGCTGTCATCATAGAAGATGCATCGTCCCTCTGGCTAGAGTCCTGTACCTAGGACACTCACCCAGTGTTAAAGTCTAACAGCTGAGGATTCCTGAAGTTATCATCACCTTGGGGGATGTATAGTTCTATTGGAAATAAAATAAAGATACGGACCACAGATGAAGGAAACAAATACTTCTCTTAAAAGTTTCTATGCTCAGACTTATGTACTGAAGGGCCAGCTACCCCATAAACCACCAAACTGGCTCACCCAAGTCCCCACCCAGATGGCTCTAAAGGCATGGGTGGTATTTGCCTCCTGGTGAGGTGGGGAGGGGGAGGATACGTTGGAGCGTATTGTGGCTTTTAAAATAATCAATGAAAAAAAGATGTCTGTTGAAAAAGAAAAGCACACCACTGATTTTTTTTTTTACCTCAGTAAAAATGTTAAATTCGTAAAAAAGAAAAAAAAAGTTTCATTTTCTTGCATATCACACTTCTCTGCACGTGGGTCTTTACCCCCAGAAGTAAGCCTTCGGGAGCTCCTGAACCCCACACATTTGTGGCCCTGGAAAGAACTCACCCGAGTCTCCATGACACCCCTTGCCTGAGTGGAGTGTCAGCGGTGACCAGACTGAGCCAGGGGGTCACTCAGCTGTGTGTTGGCAGAGAGGCTGGGGGCTTCGATGGAATGAGTAGAGTCGGAGCTCTCCGTGGAGGAGGACAAATTGCAAGCACTGAAGAAAGGGAGATGGCACAGGCAAGCGTTGAGAGATCAAGAGGAAAAGTCCCCCAGGAGGAGAATCACCTCCTATGGGGGTGTAGCCCTGCTTGCATTCCCTCATTGGTTCACTTCCTCCCCCCACCACCTAGCTCCTGGACCTAATGCAGGCTTTTGAGCTTTAGCCCCCCCTCCACCTCTTTTTAACCTAGCCTTTAACCCTCTGACCTTAATTTAATTATCTGTGAGATCGGTTAAGGATATGACTTACCTTGTGTTGCTGAGGGGATCAAATGCTGAGGGTGTGTAACACCCGTACCCTGGTGCCCAGCACGGATGAGGTGCTTGGTGAATGTGAGCACGTCACCTGGTGGTGCTGGGCTCTGGGCTGGAGTCAGATAGCTGTTAAAAACCTTCATCTTCAGTTGGCTTCTGGAAAGCCCTTGCTTCAACACCCCCCCCCCCCCCCCGGTAAATTGACAGCTTGGACTTGGGCTCAGTCCTCCGATGGGTTTTCTCTCTGTCCATTTACTCTCAGTAATCTTGTCCAGCATCATGGTTTCAAAATAGTATTTATACGCTGACTGATGTCCTGCCCCAAGTCTTGTACATCCCAGCCCCCAAATCCCCTCCTCTCAGGCTTCCTTATCTTACTAAATGGCCGGTTTCCTAGTTGCTTGGGTCATAGACCTCGCAGCACTATGTTTCTCACACACCTTCCATCCAATCTCTCAGCAAATCCTCTTGGCTCTCCCTTCAAAAACGTAGTCGTGGATCTGATCACCTCTTGCCCCCTGGTCAAAACTGTCATCATTGTTTGTCTGAAGCAATGCAGAAGCTTCTGAACCGTTCTTCCAAACTTTGGCCTTCTTCTCTGCTATCGATTCTCAATTTGGCAGCCGGAATAAATCTTTAAAATATTGGCCTGATCATGTTTCTTCCTCACTCAACCCCCTGCCATACTTTCCTATCTCATTTAGAGTCAAATGCAAAGTCTTCTGCTGGCCTTCAGACCTGGCTTGGATCCCCGCTCACTCCCCTTCAACCACACTGTCTTCCCCACTACTTCTTAGATCTTGCTGAGCAGACTCCTGTCTCAGGGCCCTTGCATTTGTTCTCTGTCCGGAATGGTCTTCCAAGGTGTACACATAGCTCATGCCTTCACTCCCTTCAAGTCTCTGGCCCAGCGTTCCTGTTGCTGCTGTTACCAATTACCACAAATTTGGTGCCTTAGAACAACACAAAATTATTATCTTAGAGTTCTGGATGTCAAAAGGGAAGACATTGACAGGACTGGTTCTCTCTGGGGACTTCAGAGAAGAACCTGTTTCTTTGCCCTCTCCAGCATCTGGAGCCCATGCATATTCCTCAGCTTGTGACCCCTTCCTGCCACCACTCACCTTGCTTCTGTCCTCACCTTGCTTCCTGCCTCCCTCTTATAAAGACTCTTAGAATTACACTGGGCTCAGCTGAGTGGTTCAGGATACTCTGATCACCTCAAAATGCTTAACTTTAATCCAATGTGCAAAGTCTCTCTACCAAGTAACATCCCATATATGTAGGTTCCAGGTGTTAAGGACACAAACAGCTTTGGGGACGTCATTATTCAGCTTATACCCTATATAAAATAAGCATCCCAGCCTACCCCCCATTCTAGAGTCCTGGTCCCTCTTTGATTCTTCCCCTTGGCACTGTTCCCCATCAGACATTGTATATATCTGCTGGTTTATAACTTTTTGTCTCCCCCCCAATCCTCAACCCCTGCATTCCTGAGAGTGTAAACCCTACAAGGCAGGGGAAAGCATCTCCCTGTGGCATAATAGTGTGTGGCATGTGAATGTTCTCAGTAAATATTTGTTAAAGGAATAAATTTAGTCTCTAATCTTATTATTTATTAGAGAAGTATGGTGTGAAATAGTAAACAGTAAGATAAGAATCATAAAAATGTATTTGGTAGATTCAGTGGAATCTGAATCTTCATTCAGCTGGAGAGAGAACACCAGGAGGGCTGCAGGGAGGAGGAAACTGAGCGGGGCCAGCCACAGGGGAGGGCTTCCCAGAAGGAGTGGGGAGAAGGAACAGAACTCAGCTCATTCAAATGGATCTTGGGATGGTAAGCAGGCACCGGGATCCTACAGAAACCATTTACCCCGGCAAGAGGGTCCACACAGACAGACTTGGATCAGCAAAACTGGGAAGAGAAGGTCAGGGACATCTGCTAACCAGCCGCACCAGAGTGTGAATCAGACGGGTGATGTAGCCTGCGATGCTTTTATAGGGGTGGGAGCTAGGGGGTTCAGGTAAAGCAGGAGGAAGTGGACAGGAAGCAGGTTCTCCTTGGGGCCGGGTGGTGACAGTCTCCCTCCGGGTGGCCCACAGCAATGGTGGGAATGGATTCCAATGGCTGAACCCAAGGGTGTGGCTGGGCCTCCTCCTTCTCCTGGCACGGGAGGAGAGAGGAGTGCGGCAGGGCGGAGGGGCGCGGGCAGGAAGGATGTGCAGCAGCCTGGCTCACCGAACGGCTCCCCACGGGGCCTTTGGAGCTGGTCAAGGTGGTTCTTGTATCGAAAGACTTTGCTA